TTAAGCCGTAACGGGGTAGTGATAGATTGTGAGCATCAGCCGGTACGCATTTGTGCCCCAAGTGGGGGAGAGTTGCAGTACAAGGAAAAGGGTAATTAGCGGCGATAAAAGTCGCCGGTAAAGAGTAAAAAAGTCACCAGTAAAGGTAATAGCGGCTACATGTCGACGGTAAAAAGTCACCGCTACTGCTCTGTCGCTATTGATCAAAATGTCGCCAGTAAAGACAATTGTTGCCGCTAATTCTCCTATCATCGGTAATACTTCTTGTCGCCGCTAATGCTGATGTTGCCGCTAATGCTAATGTCGCCGGTAATAACATTTTTCATTTTTTTTAATCAATGATTTGGGTATAAAAATACCGATACATAACGACATTAAATATAGAAAAAATACATAACAATATCCGATTAAATACCAAATACTATTATAATTAATTTCATACCAAAATAAACAACCAAAGTTTTACAATTCTAACAAGTGGCAAAGTGCGACGACTAGTATAACATACAAAACAAAAATTAATTATCCAGCGAACCATCATCTCCGTTCCCAATGTTTCCTCCTTGATTATTCCCCAATTGAAAAAACACATAAAGCTCCTTCCTACATGTCGGGTCATTGAGCATTGCCCGAAGCTTTTCCAACTACATAATAAATAACAAAATGTATAACCTTATAAGTTAAATTATCAACATAAACAAAAACTAGCAAAGTACATTACTATTTATTGCACGTAAATATAAGATATACCAAAAGTACATTGTTATTTCTTGCACTTGGGACAAAAACACAATTACTAAATCAACATGCATTTATCGATGCCAAAGTATATTGCTATTTTTAAACTAAGACAAAATACCAAAGTACATTGTTATTAGCGGCCATTAGATTAGAAACACGATTGAACGGCTCTAGTTTACCAGAACGTGAAAACATGGATCTGTGTCATGGTCGTTTAGCGGCGACACCAATAGCGCCGGTTTTGAGTGGTTTCAAACATGGATGTCCGGTTTACTTCTAGGTTTTGGAAGAGGTTGCACGAGGAGTTGGATACTCGTTTGCACTTCAGCATGACTTTCCACCCGTAGACTAACGGATAGAGTGAGCGGACTATCCAGACCTTGGAGCATATGCTTTGGGAATGTGTATTGGACTTCGGTGGGAGTTGGGATACATATCTCCCTCTGGTGGAGTTTTCGTATAACAATAGTTATCACGCCAATATCGATCGACCTCGTTTTGAGATGCTCTATGGGAGGAAATTCAGGACCCTGATATGTTGGAGTGAGGTCGTTCAACGAGTTATGGGGAGTACCGAAGTGGTACTCAAGACTACCGAGTTGATTCAGCAGGTTCGAAGTAGACTTTAGACATCTAAGAGTCAGCAAAAGAGCTATGTTGACAAGCGCCAATCAGACCTAGAGTTTTAGGTTGGGGATATGGTTCTCCTGAAGGTGTCACCTTGGAAGGATGTCATCTGATTCAGTAAGTGGGGCAAGGTGGTCCCCAGGTATATCAGTCCTTTCAGGGTTGTAGCCTAGGTAGGCAGGGTAGCGTATCAATTGGATCTTCCGAGGAACTCAGTCAGATTCACAGTACTTCACATCTCTCAGCTGCAGAAGTGTTTGGTTGATGATTCTGCAGTAGTTTTATTGGAGGATATTCAGGTTGATGACCGTCTGAACTACATTGAGAGACCGGTAGCGATCCTCGACAAGAAGACAAAACCCTTGAGGAACAAGGTTGTTGAGTTAGTGAAGGTGCAGTGGCAGCACCGCAAAGGTTTAGAATGAATGTGGGAGCCAGAGCACAAGATGAGGGAGCATTACCCAGAGTTATTTCTGGCAGCGGAATTCGAGGACGAAGTGTGATTCAAGTGGAGGAGAATTGTAACACCCAAGTCGTCAGGTATGAAAATTTATTCATTATTCAAATAAAAGTTGTGAAGGGTTCATGAGTATGCTAGGCGTACTCCTTGCATGCGCACATCGGGGTGAAGCCAAGGGCAAACCCTAAATTTTAGGGTTTGCATCCTATGTAAGATCATTAAATCCTTCAAGTTCATAAGCTTTTCAGCCCCCGTTTCCTTTGAGTGCTAATCTTGAAACCCTAGCCATCTTGAGTGCATTTTTGAGCTTACAAAGAGTTTTTGGGTGTTCGTTTGTGGTTTTGAAGATGATGGAAGCTTGAGGAGAAGCAAGTAAGAAGAAAAAGCGTGTAGATCCAGAGTTTGGGCATCATTTCTAGCTCATTGGAGGTATAAATTTGAAACTTGTTCATTCTAAGCTTAGATCCAGGTTTAAGGAATAAATTAGCATCTTTTGGTCCCATAACTTGGTCTTTTGGAGTATGGGCTACTCCAGACCATTTAAGCTAATCCTTTTTGACTCTTAGAGCTGCATGAAGTCATAAAAATCATATCTTGAAGGTTAAGACTCAACCATGCATGAGTTGGTGACCACTTAAAAGAGATAGAGTCCCATTAAGGCATGCAAGAGCATAAAGTTTGCAAATTTTTGGCTTAAGACACTTTTATGAGATTGGATCTAATTTTTAAACGTTAAATCTTTATAGGTTTAGACATTGGAGCATTTTTAGGCGGACTGACCAGTACGTCGGGCGTACTCTTGAGTACGCTGCGCGTACTGGGCCAGTGCCCTGATTCCGGATCATCAGCGTACGCCAGGCATACGAGCCATGTACGCTGCGCATACGTAGTCTGTGGGCTTAAGAGATTTTTGGGCTCGAGTGTTGTTAGGATTTTTGACTTGTTTAGGTTTAGGCCTCATGCCTACCTGTAGTAGCGGGACATTTATGGTCTCTAGGTCATTTTAGGAGCTCTTGGGCTATATTAGGCCTTAGGGCCTTGTAGTTGGGCTTGGAATACCTTTTTGGGCTAGTTTGGATTTGTGCCTTTGTGGGGGAGGTCCAATGAGGCAAGGGTGAAGAAACCCTTTTGCTTTAAGTTAAGAATTAAGGTTTGGACTCTCAGGTTAGATTATTGACCCAATTTCTAATTAGAGTTTTATACTTATGCCTTAGGGAGAGGATTTCGGGAGTTAGCCGCTCGAGCGTGATTTGATACCTTCAGTCTTTGGTGAGTTTCCTTCATTGTATATGTGGGTCGAAGGCACTAATGCAAACCCACTAGTTTATGCTTGAAGTATCATGTTTGTATTCGTGATAATTGTCAGTTATGCCTGTATTTTTTTGATGTCGCTGTGATTCTTTTGTTATGATATTATGTGGTAGTATTAGGGGTGAAATAGACCCGGTATCCGGTTGAAATAGATTGAAGGGGATTGAATGCCCCCATATATTCTTGACTGTATCCGGTTGAAGTAGACCGACGGGGACTGCAAGCACCCAGATATGCTTGATTGTATGTTTGTATAGTATGGGGTATTTTGGGGGAACTTACTAAGCTTTGTGCTTACGGTTTTTAGTTTATGTTTCTGGTACTCTCAACTCGAATGGGAAGGGTCCGGCCTGATTGCACTGCATACACCTATGATTTTCCGCCTTATGTGATTTTTGGAATTTTGTACTCTGATAAAACGTTGTTATGATACACTTTCGACTGTTTTGATACGATTATCGTATCTTTAGAATGAAATTTAAAAACAGAATTTTATCCATATTTTTGAGACGTTACACTAACTTTGTTGTCATTGGTCGCTAGGCGTAGAGAAACCACACCATTCCATTCCATCCCACATTCCCCTAAGTTGTGCTATACTGAAATCATGTCTACTGTTGTCCTTAAAAAGAATGGTCAAAGTCACCTACCCATTCACAAATTCTAAAACGATTAGACCATTATTCAAACATTGAACATTAATATATTGATTAAAAATAGGTTTCTTACAAACTTGTCGATGGTGCACCACTAGAGGTGCATATGTCAAACCGTTTTTTTTACTGAAGGAAAAACAAACCGAACCGGGTTTATGAGAGCCGTTTTTACATAACCGGTTTGTTTAAAATCAAACCACCACTTAGTAATGTGTTTCAATAAATATCGCAAACCGGTTTTTCTATTAACCAAACCGAACCAGTTTTATATATATATATATATATATATATATATATATATATATATATATATATATATATATATATATATATATATATATATATAACCCGGGATTTTAGCGCAATTTCACTTCAAAATACTGGAAAAAAAACTGACTTTTTAAATCAAAACCGATATAGAAAAATCAATTTTTTAAACACCTTTATGAGCCAACCCATCACCCATGCCCAATGGTATGCAATTTTAGCAGGACCGGCCATGAGGGAGTGCCGGGTGTGAAGCCGCACAGGGCCCCGAAAAAAGATAGGCCCGAATTTTGTCTAAATTAAATAATAATATAATATAAATAAATATATATTTGTTTAACGAAAATAATGCATGTTGTGTGGTTCAGCCGGTTAAAACGCTTGATTTTCTTTCTATTAATCTGTGTTGGATTCCCATTTATTTCATTTTAACTTTTAAATCCTATACACGTTCGTCTCTTTTCAATTTAAATCAAAGATACACGTACAACCCCTGCTTTATTCTACATTTTTTACAATCTACCACTCCTTTTAACTTTTTTGCTAAATTAGTTTCTAAAAGTTACATATTTAATCCTAAATTTGTATCTGTTTCTTTTTAATCAATTTATTTACTTTTTAGATTTACATGACGGCAATTCACCCCGTAAAATTATTTTTCTTTTATATATAACATTTGTATTTAGGGGCCCACTTTTATCTTTCGCACCGGGCCTGAGCCTTAAAAATCAATAGACAGGCCCTGATTTTAGCAATCCAATGTGGCCCATTATGCTTCTCAACGCAACCACTTTTGTTATCATATAAACTAGCCCACCTTTCTCGTCCTTGGTAACGGGCTTAAAATATCATATCTCGTTTTTGTGATATTGGTATATATATCATTTATATACATCATACAAAAATGACTTAGAGTATTTAACTTAGTACAAATAATATTTTGTAAAATGAATACTCATTTTTTTAATTAAAATATCAACATGTATACATTTTCAACCATTGCTGAAGAAACTCTATTTTATCTTAAACTAAGAAAGTTAACACTAGACCACATAGAAATGATATATGATCATATGGTAATTAAATCGCTCAAAGCTCATCTTTCCCGGATGTATGTTCCATTTTTTGTTCCATTTTGGGCGCACATGAGCACGAAGATCTCAAACTTTCCAGCCAAATACCATCGGCCACAACATTCGAAGAGTCATCGTTGCGATTCCATGACCAATGAGCATGAGTGTCGTTCATTATTCTCAATCGACCATGTCCAAAGCTTGCTTCCCGAAATAATGATATTACAGGCTTAGGTTCTTTGTATCTTCATGTTATCCAAAACAAATCTCAAATTAATTAGTTCCCATACTAAAAACAACCAAGTACTGATATTTACAAACTTACAACATGGCCAAGCCTTCTCTATTCCCCCCATCTCCAATCGTTATGTACATCGGACCACATGGATCAGCATTGTTATCATAAACCCTAGTCTGAAATTAATGTTCATAAACATGTTGCAATTCATAATAAAAATTGGATTAATGGAAGGATGGATTAATATTAAGAGGACTTACAAAACGTTCGTATGCATGAACATGGCCTGAAAAAACCATGTCAACACGCGAGTTATACAGCATTTCTTCCATAGCTAGTCTCATGCTTTCACCTTCTCCTTGATGGGCCAAATTCGAATTATACCATGGTGCATGGAGGAGCACCACCACCCACGGTGTTCTTGATCGATCAATTTTAGCCAAGTCATTAGCCAACCACTTATATTGATCAGAATCAGGACCAAAATCAGCATAAGAACCTAACATAATGACGTGAGTTCCCACTACATCAAATGAGTAATATAGGTTTGATTCCGAGCCACTTTCTTTATATGGCATGGGCCAACGCGAATTATAGGCTTTGAATCCTTTTGGGTAGATCATCGGAAATATTTCTTGTTCATGGTTCCCTTGGGTCACCATCCATGGCCTACGGCTAGCATATGGCTCCACCAAACGTCCGAATGAATCCCAAAGTGGTTGTTGTGTATCTGCATAAGATAGGTCGCCGGGGAGGAGCAAAACGTCGTAGTTTCTTGCATTAATATGTTCTAAAGTGGTGTTCGTCCATTCAGTCTGACCAAGGTCACCTGCGCCCACATGTGTAAATCATATTAAGAATCTTTTCGGCAGTTAAAGTTGATATTGCCAAAAAAAAAGGAAAAGGGAAACTTAAGGCGTCATCAATGAAAAGTATAGGAGTCTTGAAACCAAGAAAAGGTACTCACCGGCGAGAACAAACTCAATGGGATACGTGGCCGGCGGTGTCCGGAAGTTAAACTCGGGGCCGGAGCCACCACATCTGTAGTAATACGTGGTGGCCGGATCTAGTGGTCCGATTGTGACATGGTGAATTTTCCCGGAACTATAGAAGAAATAACGGTAGGATGTGTGTTCTCCGGTGGCTGATGACTCATATTTCCCCGGAAGTTTCCCATACTCGACTGTAGATGGCACACCGTTTTCGTCGGTTACCCATGAAACCTTCATGTAATTGTCTCCAACCAATGACACATGCACCTAGAGATGGTGTTTTTCAATTAAATTATGCACTCGCTAACGAGGTATACTTTAATCCGAGTAAATTCAGTTCTGAAACAACACAATCATAATGACAATGGAAGATTTTTAGAGAGAGATATATACCTGTTGAGGATGAGACTGTGGACGATTATGAGGAGTGAAAACAAGGGGTCGTGCAGGCTGACGGACAAAATCCTCCGCCGCATGGTGTGGTCGGAGGAAAAGGAAGAAGAGGATAGGGAAGAGGAATAGTAATTTTGGCATTGTTAGGGTGTAGGAAACTAAAATTAAAGCAATGAATAGAAGAGAAGCATGTTTAAAGGCAATGTGTTGCAATGGCGTGAAGCAAACTATAATTTTGAAACAATGTTGTCCATGGATACGCTTTCGCCAATCAAACGCCACTCATATTACTTTTCAATATAAAAAATATACTACACATAGTTCATAAAAAAATATTTGATTAATAAATCATTTGATAGTACATTCAAACCTTATTAACTAATATATTTATTAAGGTTTAAACATTTTTTTTGAAATCTACAAAAGTCTTTATATTTTGGCTATATTGACAAAAAACCACCCCTTATTATTATTATTATTATTATTATTATTATTATTATTATTATTTTCCAATTTAACCATTAAAACTGATAAACGTTTGCAAAACAACCCTTGTACCCGGTTAGTATGGGTTTTAACAGTTAAAATGCAAAATAAAAAAATAAAAAATCATTGATGACTTTTTGGTTTATAAGGTTAAAGTTTAAAGATTATTCTGGAGATTTTCTTTTTTATGTCTACTAAATGTATTTGAAAAATCTTATATTTATTTATTAAAAAACATAAAATTAAGATATCATCTATATCCATTTAACTAAAAAAACTTATTTTTTTAATTGAAAAATACAATAATAATAATTTATATATTATTTTTATGATTTTTTATGATTCTTTTTAATAAATATCATTACTACAATCATAAAGATATCATTTAAATAATTCTTAAATAGAGCTTCATAATATATGTGGCCTAGAAACACACTCATTACGACAAATCAACAAAATTCTTATTAATTATATGTGGCATGTGTTTTTATAACTATTATAGCTCTTATATTATTAGGGTTATTGCCATAAAAGCTCTCTTATATTAGGGTTATGAAGAAAGAGAACAGTAGGTGAACGATGGTGATAATGGTGCGTCGGAGATGAAGAATGCAAAAGGTGTGTCGGAGATGGTGCTGATGAGGGCTACTAGTGTTTTGTCGTGAAGATGGTGTTGTTGGTGGCAAAAGGTGGTGGTGGTGACAAAGTGTGGTGGTGGTGATGTGTAAATATGATGGCTTTTACGACAATGATGACCGGTTAAAAGGATGCAAAAACCTGATAAAAGGTTAAAATGAAAAAATATTGACAAATATGAGGCATTAATGAACATAAAAAATAGACTTTTGTTGATTTGTCGTAAGAATTACGTTTCTAGGTCACATATTGTGTATAATGGAGCTGTATTTAAGAATAACAACCTCTGATAAGCTTTTATTTTTTGAGGTGTCATTCAATTGTGAAAGGTTCTTTGGTAAGTTGTAGTTTATGGTAAACGTTTTACACTCAGGACCTAAAAAATAAACAATGAAATAACATTTGGCCTAGAACTGCACTTTTTGAAACAAAATCAACAAAATCCTTTTAAGTTATATAGGATATAAATGGTATCTTTATGATTGTATTAATTATATTTATTAGAACGAATCACAAAAAATTCCAAAAATGATATATAAATTATCATTATTGTGTTTTTTAATAAAAAAATTATATTTATTTTGAGTTTTATAATAAATCAAAATAAGTTTTCTTCAAATAAATTTAATATATATATATATATATATATATATATATATATATATATATATAGATATATATATATATATATATATATATATATATATATGTTATGAATTAAGCGTAATTAATGTAACTATAAATCAAACCAAACTAGTAAACTTTGATAAGAACTTTAATTGAGAAGAAAGAATATTTATAGAGAATATGAAAGTTATATCTCTTATAACTTTTGGTGTGTTTCATTCTTTACAATGGAGGGGTATTTATACTACAAATTTTACTAACATATAATTGTAACTAGTTAGAAATGTTGACAAATTTACCATGCACCAATTATTATGTCATCCACCAATTATTTACAACACTCCCCCTTGGATGACATCATTTTAGCATTCAACTTTGACGTACTGCCTCATTAAAAACCTTGCTAAAGAAAACTCAGTGGGAAAAAAACTTTAGCGAAGGGAAAAAGAGTGCAGTGTATAGTTGACTCCCCCTTATTTAGACATCCGTCACATTATATTCTATGCACATGTCGCATTCCGATGCCATGGACATGTTTCCTGAAGATTGCAGTAGGAAGTGCCTTCGTAAAAAGGTCTGCTGCATTGTTACTGGATTGAACATATTTGATTTCAACTTGATGGTTCTTTATAAGCTCTTGAGTGTACTCAAAAAACTTTGGAGGTATATGTTTTGTCCTGTCGCTCTTGATATATCCCTCTTTCATTTGAGTGACACATGCTGAGTTATCTTTATAAAGTAAAGTTGGACATATATCCTTTTCAAGTCCACATGAAGTTAAAACTAGTTGTGTCATCGATCTTAACCATGTACATTCTCTATTAGCTTCATTTAGTGCAATTACTTCAGCATGATTTGAGGATGTGGCAACAAGTGTTTGCTTTTGAGAACGCCAGGAAATTGCAGTACCTCCATTCATGAATACGTATCCAGTTTGAGATCTAGCTTTATGAGGATCAGACAAATAACCTGCATCTGCATAACCAATCAAGCCTTGTTTTGAATTGTTAGGGTAAAATAACCCTAAATCACTAGTTCCTCGAAGGTATCGAAAAATATGTTTGATTCCATTCCAATGTCTTTTTGTTGGGGCTGAACTAAATCTTGCTAGCAAGTTTACAGCGAAAGAAATGACATGTCTAGTACAATTGGTCAGATACATAAGAGCTCCAATTGCATTTAGATATGGTACTTCTGAACCAAGGACTTCTTCATTTTCTTCGTATGGACAAAAATGAATCATTGTCAATATTTAATGATCTAACAACCATTGGAGTGCTTAAAGGATTTGCATTTTCCATATTGAAATGTTTCAAGACTCTTTCTGTGTAATTTGATTGAATCACAAGTATTCCGTTAGGCATATGCTCAATCTGTAAACCAAGACAATATTTGGTTTTTCCAAGATCTTTCATTTCAAATTCTTTCTTTAAAAGTTCAATCACTTCAAGGATTTCTTTATTCGTTCCAATGATGTTTAGATCATCAACATAGACTGCTATGATCACATATCCAGATGTTGTTTTCTTAATAAATACACATGGACAAATAGTGTTATTTTTATAACCTTTACTTGTCAAATAATCGCTTAAACGATTGTACCACATGCGCCCAGATTGCTTTAACCCATACAAAGATCTTTGTAATTTTATAGAATACATTTCTTTGGGTTTTGCACTTAACGCTTCAGGCATTTTAAATCCTTCAGGGATTTTCATATAGATATCACTATCAAGTGATCCATACAAGTAAGCTGTAACAACATCCATAAGACGCATTTTCTAAATTTTTAGATACTGCCAAGCTGATTAAATATCTGAAAGTGGTTGCATCCATTACCGGTGAATAAGTTTCTTCATAATCAATTCCAGGTCTTTGAGAGAAACCTTGAGCAACAAGCCTGGCCTTGTATCTTACAATTTCGTCTTTCTCATTTCTTTTTCGTACGAAGATCCATGTATATCCTAATGGTTTCACAACTTCAGGTGTGAGGATAATGTTCCCAAAAACCTTTCTCTTGTTAAGAGAATTTAATTCAACTTGCATAGCTTCCTTCCATTTAGCCCAATCATTTCTTCTTTGACATTCAATGACAGATTGTGGTTCGGGATCATCATTCATAATATCACATGCAACTGAATAAGAAAATATTGCACCTATATTGTCAGTTTCATTTTGGTCACATATTCTATTTGTCTGACCATAATTTAATGCATCATCCTCCTTTCCTGGGGGAATTTGAATAATTCGTGTTTCTCCAGGAACACTTTCATCGTGATCTAGTGCATTTTTTGCTCCTCTTCTTTTTCGTGGGTTCTTATCCTTAGAACCAAATGGCCTTCCACGCTTCAGGCGTGTTTTAGACTCTTGAGTGACTTTATCATCAGATTGTCCATGTGGAATGTCAATTCGAGCTGGAACATTGACAGCTGGTATATATGATTTAGTCACCCTTTTTGTGTCAGTAAATGCATCAGGTAATTGATTTGCCATTTCTTGGAAATGTATTATCTTTTGAACTTCCATGTCACATTGCTTTGTGCGAGGGTCAAGATATGATAAAGTAGGCTCATGCCATGACACATCCTTTTCCAGAATCTTCTTTTCTCCACCTAATGATGGGAAATTTGCCTTATCAAATTGACAATCTGCTAGGCGTGCTGTGAAAACATCACCTGTTAATGGTTCAAGATATCTTATAATAGAGACTGACTCATAACCAACATATATTCCCAACCTTCTTTGAGGACCCATTTTTGTCCGTTGAGGTGGTGCAATAGGGACATATACTGCACACCCAAAAATTCTCAAATGGGATATATTTGGCTCTTGACCGAAAGCAAGTTCTAGTGGAGAATATACATGATATGAACTTGGTCTCATGCGTATCAATGATCCAGCATGTAAGATTGCATGGCCCCAAACAGAAACAGGAAGTTTGGTCCTCATTATCAATGGTCTAGCTATTAGCTGGAGACGTTTAATCAGTGATTCAGCTAAACCATTTTGTGTGTGTACATGAGCAACTGGATGCTCAACAACAATTCCTACAGACATACAATAGTCATTAAATGCTTGTGAAGTAAATTCACCAGCATTATCAAGTCTCACTCTTTTGATAGTATAATCAGGGAAATGTGCCCTTAATTTAATAATTTGGGCAAGAAACTTTGCAAATGCCATATTACGAGTTGATAATAGGAAAACATGAGACCATTTGCTGGATGCATCTATTAAGACCATAAAGTATCTAAATGGTCCAGATGGTGGGTGAATCGGTCCACATATATCACCTTGAATTCTTTCTAGAAATCTAGGTGACTCCCTTTCAACTTTCATTGGAGAATGTTTTATAAGTAACTTTCGAAGGGAACAAGATGCACATGGTTTTATGATATTGGATTGAGGAAACTTTTGGTCCTTCAATGGATGCCCGTGTGTATTCTCAATTATCCTTCGCATCATTGTTAATCCTGGGTGGCCCAACCTATCATGCCATAAAC